CCAGCCCCCTTACCCGCCACGCCACCTGCCGCCTCCCCATATGTCTTCTGTAACTGAACATAAGCCCCCCCAGTTTTTTTCCTTAGCAGAGGGAGTGATCTACGTGCGAAGGCACCCTGCCGACAGGTCACACAGAGGGAGGCCTCCATGCCGTCACGGGAACATACACCCTCGGGGCCAGTGGGTGCTGTGCAGGCTGGGGTGCAGGTCTCCCACGTGGCCGACCGCAGCCCGAGTCCTGGACATGGCGGCTTGCTTTCTTACTTTCCCCCTCTCTCTGGTGAAATTTAAAAATCATAATAACAAATAAAATCCAGTAATTATTTAGCAACCAAACAAGGAACCCGTCCTTCACTTTAAGACGAGGTCGTGTACCAGTGAGACGAAACCTCCTGTCCAAACTGCATCCCGCGGGCCGGGCGCCAGGCCTCTCCCTGCGTCTTCCACTGCCCTGAGACCAGGCAAGACCAGAAGGCCTGTCTTTGGCCAGGCAAACTGAGGCCCGGTGACATCGCCTGGCCACGGCTGGGACCTGAAGCCTGGCACCTCCAGGTTGAGCTCCTGGCTGCCTCCCCCGGCCGGCCTCAGGCACCCCCAACAGTGCTCACGGCTGCATGGGCGACCTAATGCCTCGCCTAGTTCCGAGCATTAGGGTTAGCAAGCCACTCGCCCAGACCCCGCTTCACACAGCGTTCCAAGCTGTATGAGATGCTTCTCAACAAACTGACTCCCGCGTTCCCACGACCTGGCCCATCTCTACTAGGCTTCTGAGGCAGGGGGCCATGTTTAGCCAGCATTTGCCGGGTACAGTATGTGAGATAACCCCGTCCCCGCCGCCTGGATTTGCAGGGAACGGTACGTGAAATAACCCCATCCCCGCCGCCTGGATTTGCAGGGTACGGTACGTGAAATAACCCCATCCCCGCCGCCTGGATTTGCCGGGTACGGCACGTGAAATAACCCCGTCCCCACCACCTGGATGTCAGGAAGACCCAGGCTGGTCAATGACCATCGTGTCATTCCAGCCATGCTTCCTCTCAGGCATTTGGGAGCACCCTCGTGGTGTGGTCAGGACTGCACCCCTAAACCCTCCCGCACTGGGCCGCAGCTCTGGAGTGCTCTCAGGGCAGGACCTCCGAAGCTGCCTTTGGTGGTGGGGGGGGAGACACCACTGCAGTTCTCAGAACAGGGGCACCAGGGAACTCTGGCCCCAGCTCAAAGGACTCCACAGGAATTGTTCAAACACCTGAGAACCTGACCTTGTCTTCGAAACAGAAAAACCGGCCATCCTTTAAAAAGACTCAGATAAAACACAGGCAGAGAGGTTAAAAACCCGCTGCACCTACAATGGGAGAATTTTACTGGGTGTAACTACTGACAGGTCTCAGTGAGCCAGGCGGCAGGCCAGCGGGGACATGGAGGTTAAGGAGATTGGATCCCGCATGACCAACTACATGGTTCAAGTCCCAGACCCAGGGGTTTGAAAAACATGTCAGGCATTGGGGCCAGCAGAGGGCGTAATGGTTACACTGCTGGACTCCCGCGTGGTTGACCGCAGTTCAAGTCCCAGACCCAGCAGCTTAACACGCACTCCAGGAGCGTGTGGACGCGTGCCCAAGATCCTGGGAGGAGCACGGGGAAGGGACTGTGGTGTGGTCATCCCCCTCCCCCAGGATGATTTCTCGCTTTCTTTCTCTCTGTCTCTCTGGCGAGTGCACAGACCCTATAGCAAAAATCTCTCTTAAAAAGAAAAACATTCCAGGCGCGTGTGCGTACATGGCCAAAGTCCCCAGAGGAGAATAGAGGAGAAAGGGCTGCGGCATGGCCGTCCCCGACGAGTGATTTGTCTCTCTCTCTCTCTCTCTCTCCCCCCAGGCAAACGCACATACCCTATGGGGAAAGAAAAACCCACAAACACAAAAACGAAATAAAGCAGACAGGAAGAGAACGCCCTAAGGCCTGGCATTGCCAAGGGTTCTTCGGGGAGTGTGTGTGGTGAGCAGCAGGTGGGAGGTGCTCCCCACAGGGCCTGGGAGACCTGACAGTGCCAACGAGGCACCAGACACACCGGAGAAGCACAGGGGTCCCGGCTGCCAGTACAAGCACACACCTGCACGCCCCACGGGAAGCCCCCAGGAGAAGCACAGGTGTCCAGGCTGCCAGTGCAAGCCCACGCCTGCACGCCCCACGGGAAGCCCCCAGGAATGACGGAGCAGGCCACGGTGAAGGGGCCTCTACCTTGGTGAAGCCCCACACAGGGGAGGCTGACCCCAGCAGGGACAGACCTGGGGCCAAGGGCTCCCTCTTCCTAGCAGGGGCAGGATTTCAGGATATGGCAGGAGGGGTGTGCCCACTTGGCCAGGGACCCCCTGTGCCAGCGTCCTGACAAGCTGGACCGCAGGGACGTCTGTTTCCAGAGAGGCACTGTCCCCACGCCGTAACCACCAAACGCTTCTCGCTGTTCTGGGGGAACTTTTCCACGCCGGGGCTCTCAGCTCAGCCGTGTGCTGGTGTGTGTGGGCAGAATGTGCCCCTCTCCCCGCCCCCCGAACCCTGAATCCTGGCTCCTGTGCCCTGCGGGAAGTGTAGATGCCACCCGGCAAGGGCCCTGGGTGAGTTCTTACTGGGTGCAGGGACTCAGCACCAGCACCCTCCGCCCACACTGTGGGGGCTGCTGGTGGTTTCTGCAGATGGAGCCTCCTCGGCCACCCCAAGGGGGCGCTGTGACCCTCCAACCCCTTCACACCTTCAAAGGGAGCGTGGACAGGCTGGACGCACACCCCCAGGGGGTGCTTCTCCCCAGGCGGCCAGACACCAGAAGCTGTGGGATGTCCCAGGTTTCTGTGAGATGGACCCGAGAGGCCTGACAGCTGCCGAGTGCCACTCAGCTCCTGGAGGCTCGGCACACCTGAGTGGGGGTCCCAGCGGCCCTACGGGGGGGGGGAGGGGGTGCTCAGAGCAGCATGATTCCTGCCACGTAGCTCTGGGGTGCAAACAAGGGGCTCATTAAGCTACGACCACCTTGCTCGTAAGAGCAGCACCCATGCCACTCGACTGCACTGGTGCGAGAGCGGCCGTGGGCCCAGCCAGCCCTGAGCCAGCCAGTGCCCCTTCTGGCCGCTGGGTGGCGCCCAGGAGGCGAGGCGGCTCTCTTACCGGGCAAAGAAAACAAAGTTTAGAAGCTAAAGGAGTAGCCAGCACCGTAGTGGTTAGGTGGCTGCATTCTACGTGGCCAATGGTACGGGTCAAGTCCCAGACCTGGCAGCTTGAAAAACACACTGAGCGCACGCACATGCATATCCAAAATCCTGAAAGGCGAACGGAGAAAAAGGGACTGTGGCTTGACCACCCTGCATGGGGAGGGGATGCTTTCTCACTTTCTCTCTGGTGAGGACACACACCCTCTAAGAAATGTTTTTAAAAAGGAAGAAACAGGGGCCAGTAGGTGGCGAGGTGGTTAAGGGTGCTGGACTCATAAGGCTGACCACGGTTTGGGTCCCAGACCCGGTGGCTAGATTTCTCACTTTCTGTCTCTCACTCTGTCCCTCTCTGGTCAAAAAACAAAAACAAAAACAACCAAAAAATAGGGACCAGCAGTTGGCATAACGGCTACGTCGCTGGACTCCCATGTAGTTGACCACGGTTCGAGTGCTGGACCCGGTGGTTTAAACTCACGCTGGGTGCGTGTGCGTGTGTGCCCAAGATGCCGAGAGGAGAACGGAGGAGAAGGGATTGCGGCGTGGCCATCCCCACTGGGGAGTGATGTCTCACTTTCTGGTGAGCACACACACCCTATAGCAAAAACCTCTCCAAAAAAAAAAAAAGTCTTCCCCACAAGACACCACAGATCCCCTGACGGGAGAGGCATACTGGTTAAGGCGCTGGACTCCCACATGGCTGACCGCGGTTCAAGTTCCAGACCTGGTGGCTTCCTTTCTCACTTTCTCTTTCTCTCTCTAGTTAGATAAAATACTAATAATTCATAAAAATTATTTCTGTCTCTAATCAAATGAAATACTAATAATTCATAAAATTAAATAAGTCATTCTTTAAGAATAAAAGATTCACCGTCGCTTTCACATGGCTGGCGCCGGACAGCCAGGAATTTCTCACATCCATCGCTCCTCCGGCCAGCGACTAACCCCAGGACTGTCCTCAGAACCTGCCCCATGTGGCACATGGCAGGGGGGCCGAATGGGGCGTGGCCTGCTGCACCATGGGCAACGCACCCCTGCGCGCATGGCTGCCTGCTGTCACCAGCCTGCAGTTCTCCGGCCCTGCCTTCCGTAGGAACCGAGACGGGTCCGTCTATACCGATGGCCAGGGCCTCGCGGGCCTGAGACGCCGTGGTGTCCCCTGTGAGCTGCCTGGGAGGGACATCCTTGCCGCGGGGTGTCCCCGGGATCCTACCTTGTTTTTGAAGTGCACCTCGATGGGCATGATGAAGCCGGCGTACCCCGACTCCTCCACTTTGTAAGGGGGCTCCTTGCACACTAGGAAGAGAGGAGAAAGGGCATCCGTCAGCCCCCCGCCTGCCCACAGCCCCCTGTGCTCCCACCACCTCCGCCCGGCCTGCCCG